AAAGTAATTCACGGCATTATGTACAACAACATTATATAGACATGTGGCGTCTACGTAAACATAGCGTTCGAACACCTCGTTTGAACGTATGAATAGTTGAAATAGAAAATCTAAATAATCAACTTGAACATTGCGTTCGAACACCTCGTTCAAACGTATGAACGTTTGAAACAAAAAATGTAAATATTGTATGTAAGTAGTTAAATAAAGAAACACTTCCTTCTGGAGTGTGACCGAATCACACAGAAACTTTCATGAAATATGCCTAAAGGTGCAAAACTTTATTACTTTTAGCTTCAAAACCGACAACGATCTGAAACATACGGCTTATGATGTGCACATTGTCCCAATCGCCAATGTTTCTGAAAGTTTCCATAAGGTGTGCCATGATTTTGTTCTGCAAAATATTTGTTGTACTTTTTTCTGGATTTTTATGTATAATAAATTAAATATAAGAGTGAATAAAGTGAATTTATAATTGCAAATTAAGCATTCAATCTTAAAAAGTTTTTGTAATTAAAAAATTGCTGTGGCTTTTGGCAGCATTTTAATGTGGCAAAAAACCGCAGAATGTAACCAATGTATTATTGTCAATCACAGCTGAAAACAAAACAAACGTCGGAACGGTCGTTTTTAATTCTTCTTAAGTAAAGCGAAATTGAATTGTCAACGCAGCTGATTTTGTTTTTATTTATTGTGTTTAATAAATATAGTATATTAACAAGAAAGCGGAAAAAAGTGAAATTTCAGATTACTTAACAACAGCGCTGTTGAAACAATTAAATGCATTGAGGGTAAGTTTTTAACGTAAATTTAGTAGTAAATATTTTAATTTAACAATTTTAATAGATGCTTATGGCGAATGGTAGAGCTGCATGAAGATTTGTACGTAGATAATATGTACCGCAGAAACGCAAATAACAACGATCAAAAATACGTTCATTGGCACCAAGAAATTTCAACATTAATGGGTAAAAACCACACATAGTTGTACAGCTGGCAAAGATTTTTTTGAACAATGTTTCAACAAGCAACTGTAATTAAATCTACTGGGATAACGGGTTATTGGCGAAAACCCTGAATACATTGCTTGAATAGCTTTAATGTCCGGAATATGCGATGACGGTACCTTGAATTTAATGACTAGAAGTTTTTTAATGCGTTTTTGAATTTATTACTGCAATATATTCATTAAACAGATTTAATAGAACAAAATAGTGTGTCGAACTATAAATAAATTCCTGTTTTGCGTAGAGTCAGTGGTATCGCTAGACCAACTCTAGGCGTTGGTCTAGCCCCCTTGCATTACCGAATTCTAAAAGTAAATAATTTACATTAACTTTATCATATTATTTTATTGGTAATCAAATTCAAAAAAAACACGATTTAAAATAAATGAATTTTCCTACTTTTAGCCGTACTGAACGTTTTTAAAATTATATCATAATTTGCACCAGCTACTAGTTTCGCTTCTATTGATAAAATTGCCAATGCAGATAGTATTTCTTGACTCATCGTATTTCGCAAATAGGTCTTAATCAATTTTAGCTTTGAGAAGCTTTTTTCTGCAGAAGCTGTACTGACTGGAACTGTAAGCATGATTCTGGTTACTATATAAACATTAGGATATACTTCCTCTAAATTATTTTCTTTAATGAACCGGACGAGTTGCTTTATATCGTTGATTGAGTCTAGTGAATTCGATTTTAAAAGCAACAGTTCCTCATATAGTTCAAAAGACTGAATGTCGCAGTTTTCATCTTCCCGAAGTATTATATCCAAAGCATTACAATGATAGAGAAGATCTTCGTTTGGTATACTTTTTATATGAATAATGTCATATATGAAACCAAAGTGTTCAAAATATCCATTAAGTCCTTTAAATCTACAGTCGGTATCAGAACAATGGTTACTTCTTTACTATTCTTTTTTTTTAAATTTAGGTGCAATTTCATAATTACTTTTTTCTACAAACAATTGGGCTTGTTCAACGGTTTTTTCAAATCCAGTATTTCAATAATCTTTTACTCAATCACGAAATGAACATAGACTGTCAATAGAGATTTTCAAGTTTATTTTATTCGATTGCCATTGTTTATTTATATTATTAACCCCATTCGTACCATGGTGTGACTTTAAGCATTGAGTAAAAATATTATAGAGTCACAATGACTCAATTTTTAAATTTTCAGCAACAGGCACGGGAGGGCGGAGTGAAGATATTTCTTCTTTCTGTGCTGCTGCTAGATCGGCAGCGCTTGTGCTTGTTCTTTCTAAAAATTTTACTATAAATGAATGAAGGACAAAAATGAAAACAAAAAACAGATTTGCTTGTTTACGAAGGCAGACAAGAAAAGAGTACAAGTACAAGAAAAGAGTCAAATTAGTTTTTGGTGTAATTATTTGTTTTTGGAATTAATGCTTGGCACCAGCAAGCAGCACGTAAAAATTTCGTGCATTTAATATTACTTCATAATGCAAATAAGACAAACATCCCTACTTGTTTGGAAGTTTACTGATCTACATATATATATATGTATTTTATAAACATATGTACTTTTATTTGGAAGAATATGAATATTTTTTCATCTTAACATATTTTAGGAACATTTGAAGCAAATGAAACCAATCAATTTTTTTGTTTAATCAGGTATAATAAAATAATTGTATGTAATTGACCGTGTGCGAGTTCGAGTAATTGATGGTAAATTGAGGAAAATTATAAATTATGTCCGTATGGCAGCGAATGTTGGTGTTAACCAGAATTTCGAGTATGGTAAATTAGGTAAATTTGATATTACCATTGGGAACATATTATAAGATGTATAATAAAAAAATAAATAAATTTGAAAACTTGTTAATGTTAATTTACCGAGTTGGTTAATTGGGGCCTGCAGACTTCATCGAATTGAATTATTCTGCTTATATTACTTCGTAAGCACTGCCTATGGATGGTAGAGAAAATGAAATCGACTAAGGCATAAATTGTTATATGACCTTATATTACAAATTTGCCCCAATACAGGCTTAATCACTCTTATTTATAATTTATTTATTACCATAACTACTTACTTTATTTATTTATTTTGTTCAAATTACATAGTTTAAGTGAATTAATTTTAAGATAGTTGTTTGTAGTCGTTTTGTCATTGGGCCTTTTTGTGGTAGGAGGCAGGTTTAGGACTATTTTCGGAAAATACATTTTATGCCGGTTGCTTTCTTTCTTCTTTTTTACCATTCAATTTTCCAATTTATATGTGATAATATATTTCTTTATCATTTTTATGTAAAAAATCTTTTTGTCAAAAATACTAATGCATATTAACATAAAAAACTAAAGTTCTTCAAATTCTTGAGAACGATTATAAACTATAGTCGAAATAGAGAACAAATAATAAAAAAAATTTTGAAATAGTAAAAAAATTCTCTTTTCTATATTTTTTTTATTAAACAAAATTTCATCGTTAACATGGACTAGGCCTCCTGGGGACACCATGTAAAAAAAACGCGCCATTCCAGACTATCTCATAGGTGGTCTGGAAATTAGTGCGCAACTAGTAACATGAAAATTGTCATTTCTATTTAATTAACGATAACCTTTCATGTATGTCGATCTAGTAACTATCAAAGATTATGCAGTTATTTAAATAAATATCCATTTCTCGGCAATTATCCGCTTGCAAAAGCTAATAGTCGATATACTTGTATCCCTTGTACTAATATTCCTTTTATACTTATTCAGTATCTGCGAAGCGCATATATTTGCGAAATAGCGTTAATTATTCAAACTGCCATATAAACCGAAGGTTTAATTTTAGTTTTTTTTATTCATTTTAAATTGATTTCTATATAATTTTATTATAATACATTTGGCAAAGCTAAATCATACTATTTTTAAAAAATATTTTACCAATTATTGGTAAATATTTTATATATATACATACATATGTATTCTTATGATTGTATTACTTGCTAAAATTTAATATAAATATTATGTAAATGCGATAAAATTAAAAATCCATACCTAATAACAATTAATTACGAAAACAATTATAATTCTTTCTTCAAATGCCAGCATAATGAAAAATTGTTTCAATGCTGCAAATAAAATTTTGATATCTCTTGCCCCCGAAATTACATACAAAAATATCAATGTCCATATGTTCATATTTAAACACAAAGCAAGTAGGCGTGAATGAATATAAAATAGAGAATAATTCTTTTTACTTCTTACATTATAATTCAAGGAAGCAATAACAACACCTCAAAGAGCAAAAGGAGAAAAAAACACAAAAAAGAAATATAAAAATTTCTTGAACCTATGAAGCAGAGAATATTGCAAAATCTTCTTTGGTATGAAGCAAAAACGACTGAAGCGACGTCGGCAGAGATTTGAGTGATTTGGGTACCCAGTAGTAGATACCTAGAACAAAAATTAATTTCTATGGCATTGTGACTCTATAATATTTTTACTCAATGCTTTAAGTCACTATTGAAATTAACATTGAAATATTTTCTACCAATGTCTTGTTTTATTCAATATCCCTTTCAGTATTCCTTATTCAACTAATTTACTATATAAAAATGCTTGATTTGTATTTTTATTTTTATTTGTTTTTTATTTGAACATTTTAAACTTATACCGACGCACAGTGTTTCGAGTGGAACAAGTTAGGTGGACAAAATTATTTTTTATCGGAAATGCATTTAATATGTTGAAACAAAAAAAAATTGTTCTATGAGGTGTGTCGCAAATAAACAGTAAGCGAGTAAAAGTGGATTCAAGTTTCGAATACCTATATTTTCAATATATTAACTTTTTCAATATAAAATTACTTATGAATGGTTCAAGAATTATAAGAAATATAAATGTATTCAATACTCTTGTTTTCAAGGAATAATTAATTTTATTTATTATTATAAAAAACACATACCTATATATATGTATATGTACAAAAATTATTTAATAATTATAAATAAATAAATATTTAGTTGTATTAAAAAAGAAATAATTAGTTAATTTTGATAGCCACATGAACTAATTTGGAACTCATCACCATGGTTATATTATAAATGATTCCTACTCAGATTCAATATAAGCGCTCTTATCGCTACCGGTTTTGGAGTAATTTTCATAAAGCTCTTCTTCATAATCAGGAACATGAATATTAATTGGTGGTGATGCTAATAAATTTAAAACTTCACGAGGATATGTGTTTGAGTTTTTTGAAGGCACATTTCTTAAGCTACTTATAATTGGATCAGAAGTTACCAAAAGCATTGTAAGTAAGTCTCTATTCATGGCTTCTCGTGAGTTCTTTCTTGAATGATGCTGTCGATATCTACGACAATCCTTATTTCGCGCTTCCTGTGCTTCTTCTGAAAGCTGTTCTATTGGTAGAAGTGAACTATTAATAACATTCGCACTATGAATGAGAATCTTATGCAGAGTGGTTGACATGTAATACCAAAAATAGTGCTTTATATATAACTTTCTTGTCTTCTCCAAAACCAGATGACAAGGTCATCAATTTAATTTTTAAATTGTATATTAAATTTTCATTTAAGCCAGTAATTTCTGCACTTAATTTAGTATTATGAAAAAACTTTCGTGCAGTATTTCCATCATTAGAGGATCCACAACCTAGTTTCGGTTTGCCTATAATTAATCCCATATCTCGCTTAAATCTTGTTTTGATGTCATTCGAACGCTGTCTTACTATTATTTTATCGCAATCTTCTCTTATTTGCCATTTCTTAAAATCAAGTCGATAGCTAATGTGCAACCATAGATGAAAATTATGATTATTAGATTATTAGATGAAAAAACTTTTATATAATTCGTTTCTTTAGGTGTTGCTCCACAAATATAACACTTTTGTGGTGATCGAGTTTCTGTCAATGCATTGCACACCTTTCCATCAACTATTGTAAATAGCATTTTGTGTTCTACACTTATTTCATCATTTGTGTAGTATTTTTAACTGGCTTATGTCGTTAAGTACTTTATTGGATTCTTCTAGGGTAAATTCCGTGGTTTCTTTAAAAAAAAATTAGCTTAATTGGACGACAATACATTGTAGATGACGGCCGAGGATTCTGACATATTACTTTATTACCATATTTTAGTTGAATGGGTACAAATGAAAAAATAAATAAAAATTCATCACTATATACGCAGTTTGAGAGTTTTTGTTTAAATGTGCTGTGTCCAGAAGTTCCATCACATCCCCATTTAGTAATTAAAATTAATAAATGAGCAGGAGACAATTCCCTCACCACATCTCTTTGCAATTCTAATATTCGAATTGTAGTGTGATCAATAACTGATTGCAGTTTTATTTCCATTCGAGTTTCTGATATTAATATGTCCTCATCTGGAGGGCAACAAGTTTTTTTTGGATTTCGCTAAGGAATAGTATGCTGGAAATATTTCATGACCAACTTTGAGCGCCCATTTTCGAGTTCGTTTGTATAAATTACTCATCAGTCTGGTATCTACAAGTTACGCTAATGCCTCATCACTTGTTAAACTTCGCATTTGGCTTTGTTCTGCACATTGTTCAGATTCTTTAAAGTCACTCTTCGTCGTGTTTTTAATAATTTTAGCAGCTTTTCGACTTCCAGCAAACCGCAGAGCAATTTCAGCAGCTGTTTTTAATTCAACAACACTTCTCATTTTTATCAAACCATGGACTCGGTTTTTTTGAGTCTCATATGAAGCTATTTCCATATGGTTTTTAGGTCGTCCTACCATTTTACACCTTTGAGATGATGTTGAGGGTAAAGGAATATGCTTTTGAATAAGTAATTTCACTTCAAACTGCAGAAATTCTGTATTTTTTGTAAAAAAACCGACTTTTTGATTTTCCACATGAGTACCACTTTACCTCAAATTTCTTTGACAAACTTGCTAATTTCATTTATAAATCTCTTGTAGACTCTTCTGTTATATCAGACAAGTCAAACTTTTGACTCATATAAAGTAAATGTTTTTTGCATCTTTCATGTTTTGCGTGAGACAACCATTCTTTGAAAAATTCCATTTTTGATAAGAGATAAGTGCAATCTAAAAACAAATTAAAATAGTTGAACAGTGTTGTGCGCTATAATATTTTCGGAGTACAAAGTCTACAAACTTATTTTTATTTTCTCTTGTATAAAAAAATTGACCGTTGATCACGTGATCAAAACACAACTGAAGATCACATTTAAAATTAACGCAAAATGTTTGTACTTCTATGCATCACTTCAGAAAACTAACGGTAGTTTTATAGCAATCGTTATTTGTTTTGCAATCTCAGCACATTTGTTTACAAAACTGCATTCTTGTTTTTGGAAATTGTGAGTATCAATTTTGTCCACTTACCTTGTACTAGACGAAACACTGTGCAATGTAAAGTCTCAGGTAGGGACTTAGAGTTACTTTGCCACTTTGCTTGAAATTTTGTCTGAGTCATACGTTCATTAGTGCAAGGTTCGTTCACAAAATTCTAGTTACAAAATACAAATTTTACAAAAAAAAATATATAAAATTTGATACATAATTTATTTAATTTATTTAATTTATTCATTTAATTCATTTTAATTTATTTGTTTATTTTATTTTATGCTAAATTTTAATGTTTTAAATTTTCAATTTAAAATATCCTGAAATTTTGAATCTAATTTTGATTTGAATTTGAATTTAATTTTCTGAAATTTTGATCACCGGTTTACTGAAATCGGTTTTGAGTTAAATCTTTGATTTTGAATCTTTACATTGGTCGAAAATGGCTCATTTTGGTCAAAAATCGAAAATGAGTAGCGAATGGCTCATTCTTGCATATAAAATTTCAAACGCGAAAATGAGCAATTTTCTCACATTCTGTATAAAAGACGTTCGGATGCATTCCACATATGTTCCAAATGCAAGGGAATCCATTGAACATACCCTAAATGAAAGCTCTTCATGGCATTTTGACAGTTTGAAAAAGCTGTTTTGACATATTTACAAAAAAATTTAAACAAATGTTTGGTGGTTGCATTTTCTTTAAAACGATGCACCAATTTTTGGAACTTCTACTTCCCAAAAATAAATAAATCGAATCTAGAAACAAGTTTTCAGTTTATATTGTAAGGTTTGAAGGTATATTTAACCTTCCTGTAACATTTTTTTGGCACAGGCCAAAAATTAAATCAACATGTAAGTTGAAAAATCAGCTGTTTGAAATGAGAAAAAATGAAATATAACGAATGTAAACACTTTCAAATGACTCATTCAGAATGAGCCATTTTCAGCCAGTGTAAACGCCATATTTTAATTATAATCTTAATTTTTCATTTCAAATTTTGAATTTTAATTTGACATTAATTTTCAATTAATATTAACGTTAATTTTGATATTTTGCTTTGCATTGCAAAATAATCTTAAAAATTGGCGTTGGAATGTGAAATTGTAAACTGGTGGATAATACAATCAAATTGAAGCATAAAGCAAAAAATACTTGATAGAGCCATACGATTTAATGGTATTTTATGGATTTATCAGATTACAATTCAATACATAATTTGTATACATATAATTTTACAAGGTCAGGGTAATAGGAAATAGCATTGGAATCCTTACTAATTTTGTATATGAGGGGTAAAAATGGTTAGCACATCTTAGTTAAATTCTGTT